TACTATTATTATTATTATTATTATTAATGGCTTTATTCAATATTATAGTTTTGGTACAATATAGAATTCTCAGCATAGGTTATTTCAACAAGTTACTTACGGAACAAAAAAACAGTAACGAATACAAAAAAAAGAGAAATGTTTTTTTTAAATAAAAAATAAAAAAACCGAAAAACTGTACAACTTTTAGAATTAAGGACATGTTAAGAATGCAAGTTATTGACTAGGTTGACTCTAACAACCTGTTCGTCACAGAGTATATTTGCTAGGTAAGGTATTATAGAACTTTTATACTTTTGCTTGTGTGCATGGATTTTAATGTAATTACATCTCGTCCTACCAGAAGATATACAAGGAGAAATATAAGAGTGAAGGGGATGGTTAGTATCTGATAAAATAACACCTGCCAGGAGTTTACATGATTTTAAATGTCTATCCACAACCATATTAATTATGATCCTGAAAGATTCACCACACATCTTGTTAACTGCCTTCAGAACTCTCCGCAATACAACAAATTCTTTCCTCAAAAGCCCGGGAAAGAATAATGGAGAACAGTAAAGAACAATAGGTAATATGCAAGAATTGACAAATTGTAAGAGTAAATGATGAGTAATCCCAAGAGCATTCAATCTCTTTATGTAGTAGGTCAGACGGAAAACCTTCTTTATTAACAAGCCACAGTACGTCACGCTATGTAGCTACACAACGGGAAGTGTATTCAAGGTCATTCACTAAAACAACTTACTTACTTACGCCTGTTACTCCCAATGGAGTATAGGCCGCTGACCAGCATTCTCCAACCCACTCTGTCCTGGGCCTTCTTTTCTAGTTCCATCCAATTCTTGTTCATTTTTCTCATGTCTATTTCCATTTCTCGGCGTTTGTTCTCTCCCACATTACGTTGTTGCTAATAGTGTCCAGCCAATGGATCTGAAGTATTTTGCGTAGACAATTGTTAATAAACACCTGTATTTTCTGGATGATGGCTTTTGTAGTTCTCCAGGTTTCTGCTCCATACAGTAGAACTGTCTTGACATTTTTATTGAAAATCCTGACCTTGGTGTTGGTTGACAGTTGCTTTGAGCTCCAGATGTTCTTCAGTTGTAAATATGCTGCTCTTGCTTTTCCGATCCGCGCCTTCACATCTGCATCAGATCCACCCTGTTCATCAATGATGCTGCCCAAATACGTAAAGGTTTTTACATCTTCCAAAACTAAAACAACAGGTACAGTCATTTAATGATAAATATACATACAGTGAAAGATTGACAAAATAAATACAAATAATATTTAAAACAATTAGTCTCTTTGATAAATTTCGATAATGCAATGAGAAGACGTAGTTTATCAGAATTATGTGATATATTTGCTCAATACATTTGGAAAATTTAGTTAGAGACTCAATTCGAAAGATGGGTCTGTATAAACGATATGTAGATGACATAATAATCATAGGTGATAAAATTGAAGACATAAACCGTTTGTTAGAAGAATTCAATAGTAGTCAAAAGCACATTTCTCTTACATGTGAAGAAGAGAAGAACAACCAACTTCCTTTTCTTGACATCCTGATTACTAGGAGAGATGATGGTTCCATCAAACATGCTATATATAGAAAACCAACATGGACAGGACAATATCTTAATTTTCATAGTCACTGCCCTATTCATTATAAACGCGGTTTAATAAAAAGCTTATTCAATAGAATCAATCGTATTTGTACTAGTGATACTATTGAAGTAGAGATGAAGCTCTTGACTGATGCGTTACTCTTTGAAGTTCATAAACCGCTAGAGGGGTTGCAATATGACTAGACCTATGACGCTGAATAATATTGTCCGACCGGCCATTTTTTTTTAAAAAAAATCCCACCCCATAAAAAAAAATTTTCCTCCCCCAAATTATAATATTTTTCATCCCGTGTTTCGTCCAATGAAATGGCTAGTTTCAAAAATTAGATTTAATTGGTTAGTTATGTCTTGAAAATTGTTATAAATTATCAGTACTTGTCGACGAAGCACAATCTCAATCGTCATTATGGAGCAGAGTAACGTGCTGAGTACGAGCGCTGGTGTTTCTCACGTAACGGAAATGGAGGAAGTCTTTTTGACTACCTTGTTTCTGGTTGTGTTTCCATCGGTTGAAGCGTTAAAGACCACTATCACAAATTTTGAAAGATCGACTTACAGCCATTATGTAGTGAGAGAATCGCATATTGGCAGAGATCAAAAATCCTACATTAAATATGTGTGTTGGCGAAATGGGCGTATAAGATCTAGCGGTTCGTCACAACGTATTAGACGGAGGAGGTAATTTGGTAAATGTCTGACTAAGCAGACAACCAATCATTATCATTCTCGTCTACACATCACTAACCAAGTTAAGTTACGGATTAGTTTATTTTCTTAAGTTTCATCTCTAGACTGTGATCATTCCATTGGTTAAACTTTCATAATATTGTAGGGTTGAGAAATGCCTATCGAATGCGTCAAATAAACAAATTTCTACCTCAGTATTGTGGTTAGAAACTTGTATAGTGAAAACTTACACTACACACTCAAATGATAAATTTTCAGTGTAAAATTCTTTTAATTCTAAACTGCTCAAATGACTTAAACGATTTTCTGATCAAATTATTTTCAAATGTAAAAGTCGTAACATTTTATTCATTATGAAAATTAATTGAACTTCAACTAATCAGATCGCAACTGGAAGTGGTTTAAAACCATATAAATTATTTTGTAGTTTAACATAGATACTCCTTTTAGAGTACAAAATGTGTGGTAAATTATTTTGATAACAATTAAGCTACTCATCATTCTTTTAATATCTATTAAAATCCAACCATAGTTCGCTTACTATTAATCAACTAAGTGTTAAATATAAATTTTCTAGCAAAAACAAGTACTTAAATTGTTTCTAAGTTGATTCAAACGACACTACTTTTATTTGCAAACATTTATTACCTACTGTATTTGTGATTATAGTTCGGTCTCACCACATTTTTATGGGTTGTACAGCTAAACGATTTTCGGTGGCACTTATCATCGTATATAAACAAATATTTTAGATTTCGTGGTTAATCATTGATACGAAAACTTGAAAGATGAATTAATAACAAACTAGGTTATGGATACTCAAAAACCTAAAAGATTCAAGTCTGACTGGTTACAGAGGTCCCCAAATTCTTTTTTAAAAATAGGTTTAATATCTCTGTCAGTAATTATGAAGTATGGTTATGTTTGTACATCTAATCTTTTGAATGGATACAGAAAAGATGCAAACACTAATTTTCATGAGTATAGGTCTCACTTCCAAATTAATCTAACCTAGTAAAACAGAGGCCATATATCATGTCTTAAATACTTTCTTATTATTCTATGGATAGCATCTGAGTCAAAACATAATTTACGATTGGATAGTATGCACAAATCTAACTTATGAAGCCTTTTATCTCAAGGTAAGCACAGGATCTTCGGTGGTCCACGATTAGTGGTTCTCTCAGTTCATTTACGGATATGTGAGTTATCTTTCAAACATCGCCGTGTAGCCTACCGACTGCATCCAGTTTTAGCTTGTAATGGTATTGAGTAACTTGTATCAGAAACTTTTTTACCCAACGTCGTAAGAGTTCGTCATAACATTAATACTATGTTACAAACTTTAAATGAAAGCTAAACAACAATGATCCATGGATTCCGAGTCATGATTTTTATGACTTATGTGTCATTTCGACTTAGATTTAAAGGGAAGTTTGTAGTCGATGCCAGCTGCATTTGCAGTGTGCTTAAAGACTCACTTAGCTAGATTGATAGATTTCAGAGATATCTTAGATCACTTTTCAAAATACACAGATCGATAACAATTGTTTTCGGTTTCCAGGAATAAACTTTGAAACTGGTCATCACTCTAAATCCCTAATTGACGATGACATTTATAATTCTCTTAAACAGACACCTAGTGGTCTATACAACTTCAAACTTTAATATAAATTCAGTTTATGAAGCCTTGTTCTATGTCTAATAACAAATGACATTAAGTTGTAATCTTAGCCAACATCTACAGAAAATAAAATATTCTCGACGGCCACTTTTTTAAGAGGTAGCTTACAAAAACGTTTCTCTGAAGTAGTTGACCTCGCATTCCAATCTTGATCATCTTATACCACGTGGCGTGCTTTCATCTTCCTAACTAAAATACTGATCCGTTGATAAGTTTTAGTCTCTAAATTTATGAGATAGAAACGTTGCCTGAGGTACTTCATAACATCTTACGGAAGTTGGTTTGCGTACTGCGTCTGAGACTATTGAAATGTAACAATACTTTGGTTCCGGATAGTCTTATAGCACCGCTTAGATTTAGTATCATCGAGATCGATGATGAAATACCGAAGTGTCATGTCAATCTAACTATAATCTACTAATATCATCTTCATGAAGGATGACTAAGTCACGAATTGATGAGTAGTGTTAAAAGTAACTCTCCTGATACGCTGGACAAGAACAAGGGATAGGATAGATTCTAAAGACAAGTTACATAGTCTACCCAGCTAATAGAACTTTTTTTCGAATAAAACTAATTATTCCATTTGAATTAAATAATAAGTGTTTTGTATATAACAGCCAGTCTTATTGGACGTGGTCCAGCAACCCCTGGTTCATTTGTGACTATTTGAGTACATTTTGGATAGATATGGGAATATTTCTATTACGTTAATTAAATAAAGTACTTTTAATTACTCCATAAATTATTTAATTTTTTTTCTACTTATGATTATGAATACTATCGTTCTAAGGAGGTCATTCAGCAGGATGTTGGGATTTGCTTTGTTTTTGAACGACAAAATTTAAAATAGAAAAGTTGAACAAACAGTTGAATAAATTTATCAACAATGTAAATACAAATCATGATAACGAGAACTTTAGATCCATCCGCAGGAAAATCTTTTGTTTTACAGGTCATGTTTCGAAGGTGGAAAGATGTTTTTACCCGGAGAATTAAAGGTGAATAGATGTTGTTTGCTTTTCAGTGGTTTTAATGGCTTGGCGCCTATTACAAAACCAGACACGAATAACTTCACGATCATAAGTCAAGGCTTTGGCTAACTCAGTCATTTCAGCTTCTAAAATTCAGTTTAAAAAACAATCATAACATTTTTGAAGAGTTCAATGAAACAGAAAAGTAGATTGATAGGAGACTGACAAATTCTAAGCAATCTTGTGCTTTATAAAATGTGTTTTATAAAACAATATCGCATTTAAAAGTGAAAACATTTTAAAAAATGGATTAGTAAATAATAACTCAAAGTTAAATCATAGAAAATCCTCAGTGGCAGAACACTATGATGTTTCTAGAAATAAGAAGATCATGTACAGTAATGTAGACTGTTTCATATTTCTAGCAGCTGAGAGATGAAAAAGAACCATCAGTAAGCAATAGTTTATTTTATTCACAATTATCATTTAAAATCTAAAAATCACTTCCAAGAACAAACAAGGTAGATAAGAAGCAATATAGCTTCTATTTTCACACCAGAAGATGATATTTCATTAGCATAATGTTTAGTTTCATTTGATCAGTAATTGCTAACTCTAAGTATTATATGAACTTAGTTCTATGTTTTTACTAACTTCAATAATTTCCGATTTTTGCATTATATTCTCAAGTTTATATGTAAAAAGTGTAGCAAACGCTATTTGTGTCTCAACTCAGTCCTTCGCCTACCTTACAGTATTTTTTCAAGACTTGATAGATAAATTCCATCTACAAATTGAAGTACAAAGTAGGTATATCTTACTTCAAAAACACACAAGAACACTCATGTGCCCGAAATGTTCCCTTCTCAATATCTAAGTGAGATGTTTTACTGTGTTTAGTTTAGTTGCTTTCTACAACGTAATCAAATAAACAAATGGATGTACTTGTCGAATTCCTATATGGACAGAAATGTTACTGCTAAAGCTTACCGGGTGATATTAGTAACTATTTTTGGATTTCATAAGTTTAACTCTGATATCAAAACTAACAGAACTGTTCGTAAATAATTTATCTGAGTATATTGTTCAAATTGTGTTGTTCGTTGTAGGTTTATTCGAATAATAGAAAAAATCATGCTATTCTACAGATCATTAAGTTAGTTGCATTATCTCAGTACATTATGTTACTATATACACTATACACTATAAACAAATACAGTGGATAATAGCGATATTTGAATGACGTTTATCTGTAAGCATCAGACATTATTTACAGTGACCAAACTAATACATTTTTACTTATTATAAAAAGTGGTTTTATGATTGTTTGAACCGTTTTAATGGTCTCCGGAGTAATGAACACGAATTAATTTTATTCCGAAAGGAAAATATCTCTTAAATAACTTGAAGTCAGGAACAGTTTTCAAGTTAGTTTTACTGCAGGTTTACATGTGCAGTTAATCAATGAAATTATCACTATCAGCCACAGTGGTCATTTACTAGAGCTTCATACATTTGATAGATATATCTAAGTAACTTCACCAGTCTGATTGGATATCAGTATCTTGATTTTGATGTTTCAAGACTGAATTGTTGTAGAAATTCTCAAGCAGGAATATAGCTTTGACTAAGAAATCTCTCGTCAGAGGCTGTATCTCATCTGAAATAATTAATTTGATTGGCAGTAAATGGTTTGATATTATCTTCGTTATATCAAGAAAATATTTTAACATAAAGATTCACTTCTATTACTCTAAAAATGTATGTCCTACTTTATACCCAGTCATGAACCTGATCCTGCACGTTGGATGACTCAGGGTAAACCGGAATTAAAAATCCACTTAGGCCTTATTCTTGTAGTTTATCAATAAAATGACATTGAAGAGCCCCATAATCTTGTAAAAACTTGAATCCAAGTCGCTCAGCATTCCACATTGGAGTGTCTAGACAGCATCTAGTCCATTATATGACTGCCAAAGTTTCAGATTCAAAACCAGTGATGGAATTTCTCTTTCGTAATGATCATAGATACATGATGCCGAAAAGTGCAAAGTACAAAACCAAGGTATACTGATTACTCGCAATGGGCTTGAAGGATTCACTATTAAATAAAATATACGTCAATATCAAGTAACTTAGTTAACTGATTGAATTTCAAACCTGATTAATAGAATTCAGCTACAACTAAATGGCCAATTACTGTGGGCCTTACTTTCTATCAACAATCTAAATCACTATAAAGTTTAATACTGGAAATTAAGGAAATTTTTATTTCTAAATAAGTATATAATCACTTGTTGGGTAAGGATTCCTCTCAAGTTGGTGCAATAAACACTTTAGTGCTTTAGTACTGAAACAGGTTCTACGTTTACGCTTCCTAGGTGGTCGGTGTACAAGTTGAGCTCCAAAGGCATCATTTGCTCCATTGTGATGCATTGCCTGGGTTTCAGATAACCAACGTTCTAAGACAGGTTTCATTCGTTTCGCGGATTTTAAAGTCACATCAAGTTTCTCGAATCTGAAACAGATCATCAGAAAGTATATTTTAGTTTTTTAGCACTTTTATATGCTCATAATATAGTTTTTAAACAACGTTTTAAATATGCTAATAAGCCATGCTTCAAATTAAGATTGTAAAGCGGTATATGTTTATAGCCTTCCTAAAAACCCAAAGACTTTCAGGCTGATAACCATAAGGTTAGCTTCAAAATATTTGGACAGTGATATTAATTAACATGCTTAAGTACGTTCATCTACTATTATACAATTGGTTGGTCGAACCCTAGGTAAGTTGCTATTCGTTTAAATTTCTAACAATAATTTTGATAATAAGAGTGTTTAAATCTTAGATACCAAAATTTTGTTCATGGGTAAGTGCCAGAATGTTGTAGAGTGAGTTCGCTTAACTTTATATTCAAGCTATTTCGTTGTTCATTCTTCCCTGCTTTATTAACCTAACCAATATGCTAATGGAATGATTCGCGTTTTTTAACATAGGAATTGTGCTTATCAATGAACCAACACCGCTAGATTTGATTGATTTTTTAAAGTTTCAACCTTATTTCCCTCTTTTCAAATGAATTTTGCCCACAAGATTATGTTGTTTGTTCGTAATTATATCGTCTTGTTCCAGGTTTCATAAAAGAAAGATGATTCAAGAAAGTTATTTTTATTGGGTTATGCGGGCTATTTATGAAGCTCAAATTTTAATTCCTGGTAAAATTAAATATGGAAATGCCAAAAAGTAAGTTAGAATGATCGCTTTAATAGTACGGTTCAATGTCTTGTATGCAATCCATTGTTTTCAACGCTTCTGGTAACAGTGAATGGAAATTTATTCCAACTACTTCTTAGCTTGTAAACTATTGATAATAATATGCTGCATACTCCAAGTTTAACTTTCTGGCAACTGATCAGTCCCATACATAATACTTATTTTTTGGAAAGAAGATAGAGGTTATTAGTAAATACTTTTAAGGAGTCAAAGCTGTAATCTAGTGGCAGTTCAGAATCTTATGTTTCTAAATGTTTTTCTTAAAAATTTATTACGATAAATAAAAATAACAAACGTGAATCCAAGGTTATGACTTACCGACAGATTGCACTTTGACTATAAGCAGGTCCTTCTTTGGCATTTAAAGAAGCTCCAACTTGTGTCTGTGTCAAACCCAAACTGAGTCTACGCAATTTAAACAAGTGTGCAAATTCATATATTTCCGCCAAATCATCATTAAGTGAAATTCTATCTTCCTTCTCTTGTATCATTGTTTTCAATCTTTGTGATTTTGATGAAGTGCGTAAAGACGAATTATCTGTTTGATCATTTGAAGCAGTCTTTGAATCGACTAAGTCTTGATTTAAATTTGATAGCACGGATTCACATTCACTATCTAAATCATATGCTACCGATTGATTGTTAATAAGTAAGTTGTTCTTTATGTGTGATGAAATAGTTTTTTGTTGGTTGGAAATTTGTTCACACTTATATTGATCCTGTGAAGTCAAACTGCCACCAACTACAAAAGATGAAAGCCATCTAAATAAGGAGAAAGTACGATGTCGAATTTTGTCTGATGAATTTATCTAGGTAAAAAGTGAACATTCAAATTCTACTTTTAAAAATATGACTCTGTTTTTGACATGAATTATGAAGCATAAGAAAGTAAATTCATAACCCTCTATATGTCACTGATATATAGTCGATTCACTGAACTTGTCTCATCATACCAGTAATAAGATTTTGTCAATTTCATCTCGAATCATTTGAAATACTTAACATAAAATAGTTTTGTAAATCAATTTATTTTCTGCTTTATAAACATTATTAACCCAGATAAGCTAAAGTTGAGAAATGTATTCCCATAATTTATATTCTTTTAATAAATATCACGATAATAAATTAAAGACACTCTGTTGGGGAAATTTTCAACTATGTATCTCTGGCGACATTATTTTATAAACTATAGAGTTACCGAAGTTATTCCATGGTCAAAGCAGTTCAACTTGATTCGGGTTTAAACTGACGGTTATTCCTAAGCGATTTTCAGAGATCAGTAATGAACAATAATGTAAACCTAATGTCCAAACTTTAAAATATTTCGAAAAATATAGGTGATTTCAAACTATCCACCAGGATGGCAGTTCACATTTAAACACATTAACACCAATGTTATTAACTGCAGTACTGAATAACACTGAGGGGAAATCTCTAGTGACAAAAGTATTTCCTTTGTAATCGGTATTAGTAAACATGAAATATAAGTAAGGAACTTTCTCCTTGTTAATCCCAGATATTTAACAATGATCAATATGAAATGTAATCATGTCTTATTGTTCAAACAATTTCAGATCATCATGGAGGAAGAATAGATTTTTTATTGTAAGAATAATAACCGAAATAGTAAAACACCGTCGATATATCAAGAGATTATGATAACGGACTGTAATCCGAATTTTCTTCTAATTTTATTCACCTGTTTATAATTATGGCTTATTTATTAATTAGCGCACTAACTCCCATTTACAGAAGCTATGTGTAATATTGTTTCCACTATATAAACTTGTGACAGACTTCAAATGGAGAAAGTTACAATTTAATAAAAACGATAATGTCTACTTTACTAATGAGTGAATATAAAGCATTTGAACTAAACACCTAGTTTGATAAATATTTAGTTTTAAAATCACGAAACCGGCATGTTACACAAAATCGTAATTACAATTCCTGTTCTTGTAAAATATGTTAACATCATCCACTCAACGTAACAGAGCTCCAAAAATAATCAATATCAATTAACTCAGATATTTTATTATATAATAGTACATTTTATCCTTGATTCATCATTCATTAAACATTAATTGTTGTTTGCTAATCATTCCAACAAGAAAGAAATATTGATTTAATTGTTCTATAATTGAACATTCATACAACTGAACAGTTATCATGTGCTAAAAGGAATAAATATGTGTGGATATTTAAATTTGGGTGAGTATATAATTTGACTTCACTACTAATTTATCTATCTGCCTACAAAATAGTCATACTGACTTATTAACTACACGGCTTAGAAATAGTCATTTATTTAGACGCTTCATCAGTAATCAGAGATCGTCACTGACTTTACATGATTTGAAAAATAAAAGCATCAACCATAAATTCGATAAGAAAAATGTTTCCTTATCAAGCTGTTTTAATTGTTAATTAATTTATCATTTCTTTGCATCGAAATATAACTACTCTAACTGAAGTCTAGGCTAAACTGAAGGTATGAAAGTGTTTTAGGATGTCACATCATTTCACTGATGTTAATAAACCATTTAACGTGATTTTATTTTCATTATTAGTCGGAATAAATTAGAACTCATAGATAGTTTAAAGACGATTGTGTTTCTTATGGGTAAAAACTTCAGCTAAATTATCCATTTCAAACAAGATTCAGTAGTTCATAAGAAAATTAATATCACTCCGTCCATCCGCCATGAGTGATATTATTGACCGTTCTCTTTTCATACTGTTTGTAGAAATCATTTAAAAAACAGGATCGTGAAGGTGCATTTGAGTTCTAATGTTATTATATAAAGGGGAATGATTCCACACATTTTCTTTTCTAATACAGTTGTACTTATTGTAAGAGATGAAAGCAAAATTGTCATTGCAAAATGAACTACACAAACGTATCAGGTCATGAAAGCAATTGTGATGGTTTGTCTGTACATCAATGGATTTTAAATGTTTGAAATTGTCATAATGAACAACGTAGTATTTCATTAAAACAAACAACAAAATAATCAAGATATCTTACTTTGATCTGTTAATAGATCATCCCTCGTATTTGCTCGAAAGTGTGTATTTGATAAATTATTATTATTGTTATTGCAGTCAGTTTCGTTGTTTGAGTTACCTGTTGTCACAAACACTTTGTATTTATTATTGTAAATCTGAATTTGTTTTTGAAGTTCTTCAATCGAATCTATACTATTGTGTAAATTATTCTGTTGAACTAAGAGATAAAAGTAGTGTAACCAATTCTCATAAAACGTTTTATATGATAATGATTTGTTGGATGGATCATATTCTTCTGATTGAATTAATTTAGGATCTAAGTGTAGGAATGATTGAGCTAATGAGTCCAGCGATGGATGGTAATTTGATGTGACTGGAAAGGGAGGTGTTCTGTGTTTGGTTGTTTTTGATGAAAATATTGTATTCCCAGCAGTTAATGCTAACGGTTGCAAGCAAGATCCAAATGAATGTTCTTCAGTAATATCGTCGTCAGTCATATTTTTTTAGTACATGTATACTTTAGGATCCAAATTAATATCTAGGCAAATTTAAGTGAATCATTTGTGATCTTATTAATATTGAAATAAATGAATTGAACAGTTATTAATTCTACTAATTATACACATTATTATTTAGTTCTTCATGAACTGATTAGACTTGAAAACTGAAATTGTCAGAACCACAGTTACAACTTAAAGATGAAGTAACTACTCATGTAACATTTGTAGCAACTTGGACGTGAGCTGAAGTTACGATTGCTATACAAACAGACACCAAGCAGGTCAGACTAATTCAGTGTAGGTAAAAATAACTATTATATTCAGTAGACGATCCTTATTTTTGGTTTCAGAATAAAAAAATGGATCATTCGTTTTGTAAATCAAGCTTAACAAACAGAAACTGACAAGCTTTACGGATAGTCATGACTGGAACACTTCAACCGTTTAAGGCAAAATGCTTCTTGACATAGAATAATAAAATTATTTTACCAGTTTAAGAAAGTCATTTTTCAAAAGTTAGAAGCGCTTAAACCTCTCATCGGGATTTTTACCAAGTTACAACTCAAGTTAATCAATCCCTGAAAACTACCGACCTTATAAATTCCACGATCTTGTGATGTATTTCAAATAAAGTTTTGTATTTGTAAAAGATTTTATTCCTCTGTAGTAGATACTTAAGATTGTAGCTGATCAAATTTTGTTAGAATGAGTAAATATTGAGTGGAGACCTCGATGATGCGTTTCATAATTAAAAATTATTAGTCCACTTAAAAAGTATCTAGCAGTTGGATCATGGACGCTCAATTAGTCTCATTCCCAGCCTTTGAAAGATGTTTGTTGAAGACATATGGTTGATAAAGTGAAAAGATTGGCATCAGCGACCAAACAAGATATTGAATTAAAAAGCCATGTGGCAAGTACAAATATATGGAACGAAATCATAATGGTACAATGTGTAAAAGAACACGTAATCTTTTTCACACTTGAAATTACAAGTCGATCTAAGCTAGACCATCATTGAAAACCTGGACGGACTGAACGGCCATTTCTTGCTAGTACGGGACTCCTCTGTAGTGCTCACCCACGATCCCACATGCGGAACCCGAACCTAAGACCTTTACTCCTGCGCAAGAACACTTAACCTCTAGACCACTTAGCCGGTATCAAACGGTGTTAATGTCTAATTTCAATCACTTCATGATCTTTCGCAACTCTTCGTCCATTGTTTGAAGTGGATAATTGTACGATTCTTATAGAAAGTACTTATGTTTCACTAGAACCTCCCAGTCTTTTCACTACATATCTGAAATATTTTATTCAGTTATTACATTTTGGTTTTCAAATATTTAACTTTCTATAAGCTACTACGGAACTTTAGGTAAAGAGGATATCTGTTTGTTCATACTTTGAGGTAAGTACCATCCACAAATCCATTGTATTTTTATTAAATTGAAGCCATATTATTCAGTCCTACACCCAAATATGATTAGATGGTATTACATGGGTTGCAACGAACCCCACGTAGAGACTAGTATTGTTCATGAACATAGTATTTGATATCCACAAAGGTATCATCTGTATTTAATGGTAACTTAAATATATCTTATAAGCTGGGGATTTTGACCGTCAGGATAAATGACTCAAAGACCCAATCAGAACTGTAGAGTAAAGTATAACGTGATCTAATAACAAGTTATCTATTCTTAATTAATTGTTTTCAATGTAAAAATTGTTAGCATATTCTCCGTTCTGAAACTGATGGAATATTTTTCAGTGGTACATATTTTCTCACTTCAATCAACTTATGTATAACACTATCATCATCCATTATCATAAATGGTAACTATTTTGAGAAATCCATCTATAAGCTATCCAATATTAAGTATCAGATGATTATTTCCTTGCGTATATTATGGAAATTTGTCGAAAATAGATCTTGATCGGTAGAATAATTGTACATCAACAAATACTTAGATTTCGATATGTGTATAAAATCACTTCGGAATTCCATTATTTGAATTAGAATAACCAAAGATTCACAATTCTGAATAAAGACTGTCTTTGTATCGTGTTTTCAAAACTTATAAATTTGACTTTCACCATTATATTATCATAGAAGTCGACAAATTCTTTGTGGTTTTCATGAATTTAGTCAATAATTATTATGAAAAACGTCTGTGAACGAATATAAAGAACTATGGAAAACCAATTAAATTAATAAAGATCACTTGCTACTAATTAAATATACTTTACACTGTCATCATATTTTTTTAAAAATAAAGACCTTACATAATAAAATAATGATAGTAAAAAGATTTTTACTCACTTAAAATTATGTTTTAGAAAGTATCAGTTGTATAAGGTAATTATCTTTTCCAGCTTCCTTTATTTACAGACTAATAAAGTAAATTATGATAGGCAGTGAAATTATAGTAAATCAGGCACATAGTAGGCAGGGTAACAGACAAGCGCCTTCCCTTCAATCGAACATTTAAATTATTATTTTTACTATTAACATTATTATCATTAATATTCCTACAACATTAATTAGTATTTATATCATGAGGTTTAATATAATTATGGTTTTTCAAATATTTACTATGCAATTGTTAGGGCATTCGAATGTCCCCTCTCTAATTCACTTCGTTTGTCCCCCACGAATAATCTATTCTAATATTTGTGTCTTATATTCTATAAGATTGGCTGGTTATTTGTCCAGCCATCAAAATTTCAACTACACTTTGCTTGTGTGTACACGGGCACAAACCTGTTCCTATCTTGTAAAGTGAACTATGGAAAAAAAATGCTTGTGTGCGTGCGACCTGTGTTTAGAAATATACATTTATAAAAGTAAATTTAGTTATAGGTAGAAAAGCCAACAATCTACTTATACGCCAGATATTACCAAAGTAAATACGGATTACTGTCTACAGATGTTTACGTTTCCACCTCAAGTAGAAAGACTGACAAAACGCTTTAAAAGGAAGTTTATAAAACTTTTACTTAAAACTATCATTAAAATAAAGTTTAGAAAAAATGCTTGAAAACGAGTTCTATACTATAACTAATTCACTTGGAAAATAATCGTAAACGTTGTATCATTAGGAAACTACTTTGTACTAGTTCAAAATCGTCGAGCGTTAAAATCGTGAACAGATTTAGAATAGATCATATGACATTCACATCTTTTAGTAGGCTCATCCTTTGTGGGCGAAATTTAAAAGTTTATTCAAAGCACAATAGTAATGATAATAATAATCCTTATTAATAAGGATAAAAATTCTAACATATATATTCAACTACCACCATTTATAGTCCAATATAGAACAGAAGGGGAAAATTTAAAGCTCTATCATTGAACAGCTGGTTGAGACTAGTCACCAGAATAATATAGGAATTAACTCCTAAGATTATCTATCGCATTCCATCCAAATCTTACTAGGCAAAAACAAACCTTAAGGGACTGAATGAACTAAAGTAAGCCATTAGCCCAGTTAGATGAATATCTAAAGCTGAAATGGTAGGATAACTGATCGATTCGCTTTAATTATTTTATGAGCGTTAGAACTGATGTCCATACACCATAAAACTCAGTGAACAAATAGTGAGGCTGTTCCTTTGGTTATCTCTTCACTGTTTTTATTTCAGAAAAACTAATAAATAATGCTTCAGCTAGTTATCAAAATCTAAAACGTATCATTTTCTTTGCCACTTAATTATTTGTTCTACAATTTTAAATGGAATTAAATACAATATCCTGTATTGTAAGTCAATAAACTAGTTTTTCTATACAATTTGTATAGTCGATGCTTCATTTCAGTTTTACTAAGATTATATTCTTCATTTTCTTTAAGATTTTATAAAAGTATTTGCATTCGAACTATCAGAAAGAAGCTTGAGAAGGATTTCAAGAAACTACTTATGGAATAATCAGTTTTTATATTCTCTTTGTATTTGTGTTAGAGTGATCCAGAAAATTTCTGGCAAAAGACAAGCAAGGACCAGAAAACACTAATAAGCATTTCATCCAATCAGCGTTCACTTGAAGTTTTAGCCAGAAACATCAAGGAAGTGAAAGGTCACACGTAGAGGTTCTGATTGGCTGATTGCTATACTGCTACTGTTTAGTAGCAACCCAAAACCTATATTTTCTGTATTAAAACGAACTATTGGAGTGGGGTGCTTCTCACATATTTTGCGTCTTTTCTCTCTTGTTCAGGTCGTTGTATAGTGCTAGCTTGGGGGTTACAGAATAGCTTAGGAAACGAATATAGCGTTCAATTCGCACAACTTATCAATTTGCTAAACAGTTGTTTTGTAGTATTTTTATATCCCTCTAGTCCTAAGCTATCGTTTGACTCAATGACTGTTGCGGTATTTTTCGACGTTCATTAATTACATGTCATTATTAATAAACCTGCCATTCAATTATCCCATTATTGTCCTAGTTGTGTACTGATTGAGATTGATTAATTATTTGTTTGTTGTGATCTTACATCTTATGTATATAATTGAGTTTTTGAGTCTAGATAAAATATAGTAATATCAGGTATACCATATACTTGCAATTCTTTCTTTCTTTAGAAAATCAACTTCAAACTCACACTTAAACTACGACGACACCTATGAAAGTGTTCAGTAAAGCTATATTACCATGTTTTTGTAGTTATATTTAAAACGTCATAAATTATATCATTTGGAATACCAACTAAGTTTTTGACACTCAATTTTAATTAATCTACTTGGTTAAAAGTCGTCTTCTTTTTTCATAAAATAACAACAATAATAACTAAGGCAAATAGGAAAGAAAGGGAGGGGGGAAGAATCAATGAAAATAAAGTTGTAAAGAAGGGATAATCATTAATACTCTTATGAAAAATGAGTGTACACATTTATGATGGACATGTGATGTTTATACAAAACTGTCTTAATAAGATTGTCATTGTATATATATGCGTAAAGTGGGTTGGTGTCGTAGTGACAATCAGCTGTTTAGA